TTTTTTATTTTTTTTCCCTCGGGTCACAAGACTCGTAGTAGTCTAGAACACGGTGCAAGAGAANATTGGTTTTCTTTCTTCTTTTTTATTTTTTTTTCCCTCGGGTCACAAGACTCGTAGTAGTCTAGAACACGGTGCAAGAGAATTGACTATATAGAATTGAGAAAAAGTTACGCATTGAATTCCTCAAGACTCGTACTAATTACGATTTTTTTAAAAAAATTATTTTTTTTGATTTTATTTCAATAAATAATAAAATAGAACATAAATTTTAATTATAAATGTAAAATATTTGATATTCTATCTTGATTGAAGTATTTTTAATCTAAATATAACATTTTAAATTTGAGGAGTCTAAGTATTATACTCTTACAAATTTCAGAGGTCTGAGTGTAATTTATTAACATATATATTAACGGACATTAATAGAAGGGGTCTAATTGTTACACGTGTATGAATTTCAGAAGGTCTGTATGTAATATTTTAAATATCAAGAAATTTAAATAATGAAGTGACAAATTTTAAGATATCTGAATATAAAACTCCCAATAACATTATGTGCATTCATTCATGTGAATGTAAAATATTTTGCATGGAATACCATTATGTGTGATGATGTTGTTTTTAGCGGTGATTCGATGCCTAGCATTAACATGTCGGTTTGCATATATGCTCATGGATTACAATTTTCCCATATGATATACAAGGATTGATCATGGTTGATGGTGTGCATTGTACAATTTAACAGAACTTGTGATCTCTAGGAATTGAGGGATTACTGAATGATTTAATCGGAGCTCGTAAACTCTCAGGATTTGGACAAGAAAAATGTAGGATTGCACACAAAAAATTTATAGTAGTTCACCAGTTCGAGAGTTCGGTTACTCCACTCTCAAAGGAGTCTCTTATTCTTGGAGAAGATTTATTAATAAACAAGAGAATTACACAAAGTATTTTCTTAAGCTAGTTGTTTGTCTTTTTCATTGTGAGGTATATGCCTCTTATTTATAGTCTTCTAGAGCCTCCCTGATTTCTAACATGATCCTTGTCCTTTGTCCTTGTAACCATTGGACCTATCATGTAATTGTCATGGATAGCATTGAGATGATTGTGATTTCCTTATATAATTATAAGACTGCTACGATTAGTATGTGACACTTGAGTGGAAGTTAGCTGTTATCCTTTCTGTTCTTACGGGGGTGCCGTTGTTGGAGAGAGTGGTTGACCTCATCATCCCTTGATTATTTGATTGATCCGAGCTTAGAATAATCGAGCTAAATTCTAGAGTTCAATCTTAGACATTTTAAATATCATTGATGGTTAACTATAATTTGTCTCTACGGCAACAAATTGTTTCCCCCAACAAAATTGTTTGATGACAACGAAACTTGAAATTCGAATCACCATAACCTACCTAATATTAAAAGAATATACATTGAAACACGGTTAAAAATTTGATACGCATAAGAGAGTAAAATAATCCATCGGAGAGAAGATGCAAAAATGGTGGACTAAAAAGAGTCTCCTTTCTCTCTCTAGAATTTTACACCCGAGCAGCAAATCTCAGCCAGGAAAAACTACCGTCTCTTTTATCTACGACTACTACTTTCAGAAATTCTCTTATCAATCCAAGTCCTCACCCAAAAAACTTGTAAAGCCAATACCATTTGAAACCGAGCCCTCCAAGCCGCTCATGGATTGACTACAAAAACCCAATTTCTTCTTCAATTTTTTTGTTTTCAGACCCTATTTTGAACCAATCCTCTAAACCCAGACCATTTCCCTGAGCCATCCCTCAAGGCTACTCATTAACGTCCTGCAAATCATACCTTCACACCCAAAACCCAAATACCTCAATACAAAGAAAATCGAATACCAATCCCTAAAACCTTTCATCAAAGACTTGTGCTAAATTCACATCCCCTCAGTAGGTATGGAGGGTGAGTCAAGCTCTCAGAGAACAAATTAATATTAGGAATTCAAAAATAAAGAATGTGAGAAGATTGGTTATGTTGTCTCCTTTATTTATACTAGGAATTCAAATTTTAAATTTAAGAGTAGGTAATGCAAAATTTGAATTTGTTGAGATGATAAGATAATCAAAATACAGAATAAATCCAAATGACATGACAAGTGCAAGGTTGAGAGAGAAACATGTCAGGTGAAAAGTTGAGAAACAAAAAAGTTTGGAAAAGGAGAGAGAAAACAGAAAGATAAATTGCGGTTATCTCTGTCAACTAATATAGTGCATTTGGCTGAGGTGTTAAGTTTCTGACATTGTCTGAATTTTTTATGAGGTGGACACTCTTGATCGGCGGTGAGTACCGTATGAGCATGCCAGCTAGGTACTCTACGAGCATGAAAATTTTTAGGGCGTGTCTGATTTTTTTTTCGAAAATTATTTTTTATTTTCAAAATTTTAAAAATATTAAAAAATATCTTTGCTTAGTATTTTTGTTCTCAAATTTTTGAAAAAAAAAGAGATTTGAAGCCTAAAAATAAAAAACAAGACTGACTTGTTTTCTGATACATTTCTTGAAAATTTTGAAAACATGGAGATAAACTGGCTTGAAAATTTTAATGAGATCTTTCGTTCAAGTCCCTTTAACAGCAAAATACTTCCTTTTTTTTTTCTCCTTTTTCTTTCTCTCTCTTCACTTTGCTCGGAGTCTTCTTCACCAACATCTTCTTCACCAGCATCTTCTTTATTGTGCTTCAGATCTGTCTCTCTTTCCACTGTGTTTCAGATATACCTCTCTCTTTCTCTTTCGTAACAACTATAGATTCAGATATACACATATCTGAGCACATATTTTTGTGTGTGTGTGTCTATGTGTGCGCGTGTGTTTTGTGGAGACTAAGAGAGGGGAAAGAAAGAGAGAGAGGTGGAAAGTGTGATTATTGTCCAAGCAGATTTTATAATTTTTGTTATTTAAAACTATTTTCAAACATATATAACAAAATATGTTTTGTAATATAAAAATTTTTAAAAATACTTTTTTAAAATTCTTCTCAAAAATAGTTTTCGAATACTGTTTTTTGAGATGCAAACTAAATAGAGGTTTATTCTTTGGAGTTCGTATTTCAAAGAATCTTTGTTAATCACATATTGTACTTTTCGTATTTGATTTNTCAAGTGTCAATACCTGAAGAAAGACAAATTTCCATCTCGAGTAAACGTCAAAAGCACAGGGCCCCATGCTAGCAGAGAAAATGTTCTGTACTACACAGTTGTGATAGGAGATTTGCGCTTGCTGCTACTTCAATTACGATGAGACCGAGATGATACACCTGTGTGGGAATCCATTTTAACTNGCCCCCGAGGTACTTGACATATGGTCAAGTACGTTTTACGAACCGACACGTATCCGTCGGTCTAATATGGTACCTCGGTCGTCATGTACAGCTCCCCTTGGCTCGAGATGTACCTCTCCTCGGTACCGAGATGTACCCCCGTCCNTTTCAGAGGAGGAGGATTTGGTTGGGGACTTATGATACTATTGAGGAGGCAACTAAGGCTGTTGATATGAAGAGGCTAGAATTTGAGTGTATGGCTACTGGTTTTGTCTCTCAACCTTGTGATCAAAACCACCCTGCTGTTTCTGAGGACTCTGGAAGTGTGGTGTCTCACACATCAATTTTTCGGTTCTTGACTTGGAGTCTTTGGCCTCTGCATCAACTTCACAAATCAATGGAAAATCAGTTTATGTATCAGTTTCACTTTTCATAAGAAATGCCAAGGGAACCAGAGAAAACATTTCCAGAACACATTACAACATAAATTAGAGTTAGCCATTTGAAGTGTTCTGGTAGAAAAGTATTACTCTCAAGTGTCAATACCTGTAGAAAGACAAATTTCCATCTCGAGTAAACGTCAAAAGCACAGGGCCCCATGCTAGCAGAGAAAATGTTCTGTACTACACAGTTGTGATAGGAGATTTGCGCTTGCTGCTACTTCAATTACGATGAGACCGAGATGATACACCTGTGTGGGAATCCATTTTAACTGTATAAACACATCCCTGCACAATCAAGTAAGTCAACCACTTTGTAGCTCCTTAAAAGAAAACAAGCATGCAACATATTCTAGTTACACGGAAAGAAGAAAGATTAAACGACTCTGAAATTTGTTTGTACAACTACCATTTGTTTAGAACCAAGTATAATAACGAATACAGTTCAGAAAAACAAAAGCAAGGTACAGAGCGATTTTGTTAAGCTCAGCAAGACCCAGGCATTCTCCCCTACCCTTAAATATCAATCCAACAATTCATACATATAGTCATGTACAATACAGAGCGATTCTGTAAATATCTATGCTCAAAGATGTGGCGACAAAAGGTAAAGATGACTATGATGGAGAAGATAATTTTGGATGTGCGATTAGTAAGGAATAAGAGAGTACATTATAATTTTTCCTCACCACATTAAAGTTGGCCACTGATTATTCGAACTGTTATCCCTTTAGCCTTCGTTAAAAATCAAACTACCATTAAATATAACTGCAGAGTAGCAGCAACAATGCACTGTCAAATGTGGAGAATCATGTTAGTAAAAACTGAAAGCAAGAAACATGATTTAATTCGAATGCATGTTGAAATAAATAGGAACTCAATTGAAACATGATGAAGCAGGTGTGAGGAACATGAATAGGTACTCAAGGGCAGATCTACTTAGTGGGCTTAGGTGGGCTGAAGCAAAGTTAGAAAAAAAAAAATTGACCACTAAATACCAACCCATCCCCTCGCACCCACCCACCCACCCCAACCCAGCCCACCTGCAAAACTTTCCCAAATTCAGTCAATTTACGTCTTCTCTGAGTCACTTCCCCTTCCCCAAAATCAGTCGATCTCTCTCTTCTCTCAGTCACTTCCCCTAAAATTAGTTGGTCTATCTCAGTTTCTTCTCTCTCAGTTTCTTCTCTCTCAGACGGTCTCTCAGTCACCTCCCTCATCCCTCTTCTACCCAAACACCATCCAAATAAGATTTTGAAGACTTCGATGGTTGAGAAAGTCGATCAATCGCGCCCGAAGATTCTAACTCTTTCTTCTCCGGTACAAAAGAGTGTTGATCAGAGTGATATGGAGATGGTTGGGGGATTTCTAAAGAATTGTTACTATTGCAAGAAGAAGATTCTTGAAGATGTTAAAGTTTTCATGTATGGGTAGGGTTTCTCCACTCTTCTGTTCCTTTTTTTTTTTTTTTTTACTTATTTGTGCATTTTGAACTCCATTATTTTTTGAATTTGATTCGGTTAATTTACGTTTATGCTTCGTCTGATTAATTTCAATCTAGTTGTTGGTCCAGTCTCAATAGCCTCTCTTGTCATAGCCACAATGCTTAGTGAGGCGGTTTCTTATACTGAGGAGCCTATTGTTTATCTTCAATTGGCTTTCACTACTATTTTATTTGTTGGTTTATTTTAGGCTGCATTGGGTTTTCTAAGGTATAAACAATTAGTAGCAATCTAAACTTAGTATTGTGGATCTTTTTTTTATGTTCAATATCCATTTTGTTTTATGAGGATTGATGAAATTNCTTGAACCCCACACCGACAAAGAGCAATCCTTTCTGGTATTTTTTCTTTGTGTTGTTAATTTTTGATATATTTGTGAACTTATTCTCATTTTTTCGGTTTCCTATTTGTGGTGGGTGAAATGGATTTTTGGTATTTTTGTGTTAGTCTATTTTGAACTTGATGCGCGTTTTCAAAATTTCGAACCTTGGTGTGTTGATGACAAAGCAAATGGCACTTGATTGGTTGGAAGGTTATGTGAACATGTTAGTTTACCAATTTCGTCCATTTATGCACATAAGTAAAATATTTGCTTTTGCTAAAAATAATTTGTATTTTGTTAGTCATATGAATGCATAGCTTAGCTTGGGATAAACAAAAATCCTAACTGCGCCCTTGTAGGTACTTAATTGAAATGGAGAAATTTATGCTATTGGAGTAATGGAATGAAACTGCACTTACCTGCCTCAACTTATGCCATAGGCCATGATACTGTCACAAATTACTGGAAATTGATGGGACTTTTCTGAAATACTCCAAGATGAAGACACGTGTCCTCGGCGTCACTAAAAATCCTGTTACTGAGATCACGTACCATCGGCTTACAACTCTCTCGCCCCCGAGGTACTTGACATATGGTCAAGTACGTTTTACGAACCGACACGTATCCGTCGGTCTAATATGGTACCTCGGTCGTCATGTACAGCTCCCCTCGGCTCGAGATGTACCTCTCCTCGGTACCGAGATGTACCCCCGTCCAGGATGCCTTTTCTCTGCTCCAGTATAAGCTATTGATGTACAGGTCATTAGCTTAGGCTAGTCTAGGTTAGCTATCATGGTCTCGTCTTTCACAATTGGTGTCAGAAGGCATAGGAAGGCAGGGTTCACAGCCAATGAGGGATGGACGCGTGGCAAATTGTGTCACATCAGAGACAGAAAGATCGCATGCCCTTGCTGACACGCGACTTGGGAAAACAAACATTTAATTACACCATTCCCTTGANTGGAAAATCAGTTTATGTATCAGTTTCACTTTTCATAAGAAATGCCAAGGGAACCAGAGAAAACATTTCCAGAACACATTACAACATAAATTAGAGTTAGCCATTTGAAGTGTTCTGGTAGAAAAGTATTACTCTCAAGTGTCAATACCTGTAGAAAGACAAATTTCCATCTCGAGTAAACGTCAAAAGCACAGGGCCCCATGCTAGCAGAGAAAATGTTCTGTACTACACAGTTGTGATAGGAGATTTGCGCTTGCTGCTACTTCAATTACGATGAGACCGAGATGATACACCTGTGTGGGAATCCATTTTAACTGTATAAACACATCCCTGCACAATCAAGTAAGTCAACCACTTTGTAGCTCCTTAAAAGAAAACAAGCATGCAACATATTCTAGTTACACGGAAAGAAGAAAGATTAAACGACTCTGAAATTTGTTTGTACAACTACCATTTGTTTAGAACCAAGTATAATAACGAATACAGTTCAGAAAAACAAAAGCAAGGTACAGAGCGATTTTGTTAAGCTCAGCAAGACCCAGGCATTCTCCCCTACCCTTAAATATCAATCCAACAATTCATACATATAGTCATGTACAATACAGAGCGATTCTGTAAATATCTATGCTCAAAGATGTGGCGACAAAAGGTAAAGATGACTATGATGGAGAAGATAATTTTGGATGTGCGATTAGTAAGGAATAAGAGAGTACATTATAATTTTTCCTCACCACATTAAAGTTGGCCACTGATTATTCGAACTGTTATCCCTTTAGCCTTCGTTAAAAATCAAACTACCATTAAATATAACTGCAGAGTAGCAGCAACAATGCACTGTCAAATGTGGAGAATCATGTTAGTAAAAACTGAAAGCAAGAAACATGATTTAATTCGAATGCATGTTGAAATAAATAGGAACTCAATTGAAACATGATGAAGCAGGTGTGAGGAACATGAATAGGTACTCAAGGGCAGATCTACTTAGTGGGCTTAGGTGGGCTGAAGCAAAGTTAGAAAAAAAAAAATTGACCACTAAATACCAACCCATCCCCTCGCACCCACCCACCCACCCNTTTTTTCTTTGTGTTGTTAATTTTTGATATATTTGTGAACTTATTCTCATTTTTTCGGTTTCCTATTTGTGGTGGGTGAAATGGATTTTTGGTATTTTTGTGTTAGTCTATTTTGAACTTGATGCGCGTTTTCAAAATTTCGAACCTTGGTGTGTTGATGACAAAGCAAATGGCACTTGATTGGTTGGAAGGTTATGTGAACATGTTAGTTTACCAATTTCGTCCATTTATGCACATAAGTAAAATATTTGCTTTTGCTAAAAATAATTTGTATTTTGTTAGTCATATGAATGCATAGCTTAGCTCGGGATAAACAAAAATCCTAACTCCGCCCTTGTAGGTACTTAATTGAAATGGAGAAATTTATGCTATTGGAGTAATGAAATGAAACTGCACTTACCTGCCTCAACTTATGCCATAGGCCATGATACTGTCACAAATTACTGGAAATTGATGGGACTTTTCTGAAATACTCCAAGATAAAGACACGTGTCCTCGGCGTCACTAAAAATCCTGTTACTGAGATCACGTACCATCGGCTTATAACTCTCTCGCCCCCGAGGTACTTGACATATGGTCAAGTACGTTTTACGAACCGACACGTATCCGTCGGTCTGATATGGTACCTCGGTCGTCATGTACAGCTCCCCTCGGCTCGAGATGTACCTCTCCTCGGTACCGAGATGTACCCCCGTCCAGGATGCCTTTTCTCTGCTCCAGTATAAGCTATTGATGTACAGGTCATTAGCTTAGGCTAGTCTAGGTTAGCTATCATAGTCTCGTCTTTCACAATTGGTGTCAGAAGGCACAGGAAGGCAGGGTCCACAGCCAATGAGGGATGGACGCGTGGCAAATTGTGTCACATCAGAGACAGAAAGATCGCATGCCCTTGCTGACACGCGACTTGGGAAAACAAACATTTAATTACACCATTCCCTTGATGAGACCGCATTCAATGCGGTAAGGCTCGGAATTGAAAGGCAATAAATGTCTCTAAGGCTGGGCATTTATTGCATCCTCCCCGAGTGGAGNAAGGCTCGGAATTGAAAGATAATAAATGTCTCTAAGGCTGGACATTTTTTGCATCCTCCCCGAGTGGAGCTCATTGGACAGTTGGCAGCCCGATGACACAACATTGATTGCTCGGGACTCCGAGCAATTAAAGAAGAGAAGACATTCCTCATCAGAATCAGTGCGCACACTGCCTGTACCTAATGATCACCTACTGACAACACTGACAGCAATCATGAGCTTTTGAGGTATAAATACTCCTCGTAAAAGGCAAGATGGTATGCAACAAAAAACCTTTGCTACAATACACACTCAGTGTTTTCTTCTTCCTCTCTCTCTCNCCAAAGTTCTCAAGTACAAAGAGGAGCTTGATCAAAACTTGGTAGACCTCGTAGGTTTTACAGTGCTTTCAGCTTTGAAACAATACTTTTTTTCTCTCAAAATACAGATGAACAGAATGAATTTGTGTTGAAATTTGCTCTCCAAATGCAAAATGTACAGTTAGGAATTCGAGAGATTGTGTGTGAGATAGAGAGGGGATGGAGCCGGCGAGGACGTGTCGATAGAGAATGTGAGGAGGTGAAATTGGAGAAAATATTCATTGCAAGCTGACACCACCGTTAGAAGACAACAAATAGTCAAAGCGGATTCCACTAATTTTATATGTTGCTGATTAGATTCGGTGATTACCGATAATAATGAAAATAATATAGTTTATTTTACTTATTTTTAATCTTTTAATTGGATGATGACCCTACATGACAGTGGTGACGTAGTATCACCGTTGCATTAAATATTTACTTGTGAAATTGGGAGAAAAATCACTTAATTAGTTTTATGACTTTGGAGTGGGACAAGGACGATGACATGTTTTTCTTTAATTTTAAATGACTTAGTGGCATTTGATGTGGATACGCCAGGAACTCACTTACATCAGTCGCAAACGCCAGTAATCAAACGTCGAATTTCCTTGAATTTTTTGCAATGAGAGTAATAAAGTAGGAGGGAAAGAGAGACCGTAATAGAGTAATTAATGATCTTTTAGTTTTTTTTTCTAAAAAATGTACTTAGTGTCAAATAAATTTTTTAATATATTTTAGCTCAATTAAGTCCAAATTTTTGTATCGACTTTTAAATTTTCCCAAAAAAAAAGGTGATTTGTACCCGATACCCTTTTTTTTGTTTAACAAGGAAAGGGGTTGTAAGGTTCGAATCCATAATCTAATGGTCCAATGGTGGACTAACGTGGCCATTAAACCAACCACTAATCCTTGGCCAGACACTCTAATTGTCTTATATTTTTTCTCAAATTTGTTGTGAGGTCCGGCGAAAAGTAAATATGTTATGACACCCTCTCTTTGGGCACTTATTATTATTAGTTTTCTTTTGTTGATGCACTTATTTCTATCTTCATTAGATAAACCCTTCGTCCCTTAATATTTTCTTCCTCTCTTACCAATTTGTTGCTCTCAAATTTGAGATTGCAGCAATTTGGGCTGGGATGCGTCGTTTGTGTTACAAAGTAGTCTATGTTGCTAGAATCTTCTCATTAATGTTATCT